ACTCTAACCAGCGAACAGCGCTAGCCGTATTTCACCGCTTTACACAAAATTTTAGTAATATCCTTAGCTTTTCTCAAGTTAAACAATTTCAATATTAAATAGTTCAACTTAGATTAGTTTAAGTTATCACACGTTTTTTTCTTGTATCTAAGAATATATTAGTTCTTGCTGTACGTCATGATTACAACTTAGACTATTGTAAAAATTTACTGTTCGTAGTGATATTTATTTTTGACCTATTGAGTAACTTACTTCAGATTAACTTTCTCAATCGAGCGAATTATCCATGGATGAATACTATGTTTGTTATTTTGTCAGAATATACCCTGTTGTCAAATGTATTGAAATAATATAAAAATTCGGTCAATATAACTCGCGTTTGATTTTTAATTAGTTTTTTTTTTTTCAAATTATGTATAGCCGTTTATAAGATCTAATAATAGAAACGTCAATGAATAATGAGAATAAATATTAAATAAATAAATAAATAGTTCTAGTAGTTAATAGTTATAATGTTAATAATAAATATTATTGTCAATTTTTTATCAGGTATGATTTTTTTCAAATAATCAAGAATTTCTTTGATAATTTAAAATGTATAATAATCATAATGAATGAAGCGACATCTGTACCAGTTTTATTGGGCCATTATCTACAATCACTGATTGCGATTGAACGCCGCAGTTTCGAGCCAGCCAACCGCAAAGGTAGACCTTGTGATCATGCGTTTTCATAAAAAAATCGGTTGTCTGTAAAGTCGGTTTACTGACGATAGTTGAACGTGACAACGTCATAAGAAAATACTGATGGAATGGTTGCATTTTTCAAAAATGTATTATTGTATACGAGTAGCAGCTGTCCACGCGGACGCATCGCTCACTCAAGTAGGAGAGAGACAGATGTCGAACGCTGCCGAACGCGGAGGCCGATTGTGCCTCTTTGTCACTGGTTCCGCGCTCTCGCTTGCACTTCACGCCTTAAATGGAACGCCTCAGAGCGAGGTAACGCCGCATGAGTCATGTTTTTTCGTGCGTGCAGCCGGCTCCATCGAATTTTAAGACGTTGTCACGTCAAAAAATCGATATGTGGTGAGCCGCAACGGCGCACCGCAAATGACTTTTAAACCTAAATGTTAAAATGTAGCTACCTGATCACATTTCTCGGACAAATTATTATGTAAGGATAGAGTTGTGTTGTTTTACATGTCATGCTTATTCTTAAGTGGTAAACGTAGGCAAGCTAGTACTTACTTAAAATTAATTTATTTTAAGGAGGGTTTTCGATACTTTTTCTGCCACCAGACGGCGCTTCGTTTGCGTCAGGTCCAAACAGCTGTCAGATAGCACAGATTCTTACTGAACGTATAATTTTTAGTGAAATTCTATGTATTTGGAAGTGTTATTGAGTTTATTATGGATTACGACCAGAGAAAGGTTGCCGAACTGAAGATTGAGCTCACAAAGAGAGGCGCAAAAGTTTTATTTGCACACAGAGGCACTGCACAACACTGTGGCATTTTAGAAAACAATATTTCTTTTGTAACGTTTTTAAGAATGAATAAACCAAAAAAATTATCGAAAAATACAAATCATGTATGTGTTTTGACAGTTGGTTGAACCTGACGCTACACTGCCGCCATCTCACGTGGAACATTTCAGAAAACCCTCATTGTTATTTCTTCTGTCAATGTTAAAATAAGGTTAACCTACTATATAAAGTTATTTTATTGACATTAAAGTAGCATCTCAATATAAGTGATGATTGTAACAGCGATTTAATGCCAAGATTTAAATTTATCTGCATTTATAAATGTGTTTTTGAACAAATCTAGGTTTTCCTACAGAAATTGAATGTATTGTTACTAAATACCATTTGTGTCAAAGATACCTAATTGAACGTACCTGTACCTGTCACATTGCTTATAATTTTAACCCCCCTCCACCCCTATTTTTTTTTTTTTTTTTTGTATACACTATTACAAAAATACACAATTATTGTACAAAACACATCGTTGAGATCTGGATCGTAACGTAGATAACTAATATTTGCAAACAAAGAAAAACAATAAAAATTATACAAACATTATCACTTGTTTCATTTCTTCTTCTTCATTTTGTGACAAGAGGGTGATCAGGATATCCCGAGGTCTCTTAGAGCGTGTGTTCATTTTAGCATCTCGAAAACATGCTTTTATGTCATATTCAGACGCCACCACTTGTAAACAATCACATACCTTAGTGGCGTTGCACATCACTACGTGAATTGCACTTCACTAATGGCTAATGTTACATCGATATCGACCTCTGGTCTTGGAGAGGAGTGATGTGGCGACTCCCACATACAAAGAAACAGAAACATACTACAGCGCCATCTAACGAAGACACACTGAACGACGGAGTAACTCCTGAATGAGAATTGCTAATCCTGTATCGTGATATGGAGAATTCTCTCGCCGATTAGCATATATACAACCTCCCAACATCAACCGTTAGGCCGCGGCCCGCCAGGCATGATCACCTCGCCTGGTCAGAGGATCCTCCCTTTGAGTTGAAGGGACATGACACCCGTTCCTCGACACCTTTTTAAACGGAGTCACTAGATCCTCAGTTTTACTCTCAGATCCCTCATGAATTTCAAGGTTTAAGTCGCTCAATATTTTTCCTACAGTTGACAAACGATCGTGATTTTTAGCTAAAATATTTTGAGATTTCAATAGCTAACTCAAGCTGTTTGATCCGATGATCCTTTTCTGTGATTATCAATTTGATATCTTTATGCTCCAAGGTGATGAAGTCAGGTGTGGTTGTAACATCAGCCTGTACCACCTTAATAGAATGACCAACTTCTTCTGCAACCATATCCTGCAAGTCCTTCAGGAGAGCGGCTTGCAATTTGACATGTGCGATGAGTCTGGAGCTAGTTTTTTATCCATAAGCTTACCAATACTGCCCAAAGTTTCGATTGTTGATTCGCATGTTGAGTCGGAACCTCCAGGAATATTCATAGCAATATGTGAGTCAGCTTTTACTTGACTAAACTATGCATTTAAGGAGGCGTTAGGTGAGTTATACAAAGAGCTCATAAATGTTAGAAGCAGCGAACAAGGCGCTATCGCAAGGTTGGTAGAGAGAGAAATAGGATTGTTTTGGTCTTGCATCTCTCTGTACTCTTGTCACTGATTGGCTATTTTAAATGCCCTCTTCAGTATCAGCCAACCAGTGCAGAGAGCATAGAAAGATAAGTCCAAAACAGTCTTCTTTCTCTGTCTACCGGCCGTACTCTACCACTTACAGAGGAATGAAAGAAATCTATGAAGTTATATCGTTGAATTAGTTCAACAGGAGTATTGTCGACTTTATTCTTGCGCCTAGGCACATTCTGACAGAAAGGGCAACTCAGAGACGCCAATTCATAACAATTGTATCACACTAAAAACATTTTAATGTAAAATGTTGTCAAGACGAGACTAAATGGCTCGCATCGTCAAAAATTTATCAGATCTTATGTGCCAGACTTCTAACTCTACACGCCCTAACTCTACAAGCCCTAACTTCACAATCTCTACACCTTAGTCAAAATATGTGGCTTTCTATAACAGTTTATTATAGTAAAAACCCCGAGACAGTCACGATCAAAAGTCCGACACTTTATAACATGGCCGCTGGTTCTTACGGTAATATTATTATCCTTAGTAGAAACGAGAGGGTTCAAAAATGTAACCATCACATTTGAAACAAAACACAAAGTAGAAATCACAACTAGTTAATAACACACGAGTCACAGACAGAAGAAAATATCAAAAATACGTATGATACGAGTATTAATATTTTTTGTAAACAGAAATTTAAAAAAATGCTCATATTTTTCTTTATTATTCCATACTTGTTTGCTACATTTGAGTATAGTTCTCAAAAGTGCGAGATTTCCTGAAAGGATATCGATCATGGGTGGTATTATGAATACCTCCTTTCAATGGATCTCATTTCGTAGTAGAGGAATATCTCTATATACATACATACAAATAAATAAAATTGAAGTGTCTGTTTGTAACGTCAAAATAATAGATTTTTTATGCTGATACGGTTATTTGATGATACCAGTTTAAATATTTTTTGTCTATCTATTTGTTCCGGGTAATCTTCAAAACGGCTAGGCCGTTCACTTGCAGGTACCTGTCTATACAAGGAGTAGCTTAGGCTATTTTCTCTCAGAAAAACCTAAAAAATTTTGCGGCATCGAACTGCAACCGAACCTGAGGCTTCATGACTAAGACAGCGCTACTGCTATATAGGTAAAATTTAATTAAATTAGGTAAATACTATTTTTGCCTGGTTACCTACGATCGTGATCGTTTTTGTAACAACCTTTGCACATTTTTAGCCGAAACAGTCTTGTAAGTATTCATCGGTCTATCAAAGGAGTTGACCCACTATAAGTATTTGTTACAAATATCGTATAGGACATAGATACGCTCCATAACATAACGGAACACCAATCAGGCAAATAAATTGTAATGTCTCGCATTGCAGTGGCCACAAATAAAATTGTCAAAAATTCTTAGTAGGATTTTTAAGGGGTGAACAATAATTTATTAATGTTTCTACATCTATCTACAGTTCTTTTGATCTATGTAACCGACTCTTTTTAGTCGATTATAATAAACGTAGTAGAGTGTATACGTTTCGATTTGTAACAGAATGAGTAAAATCGATACCTATTGACATTGATGGGATTTTACACCGCAATATGCTGTAGCAAAAACTTATGTTACTCTGTGACAGAAACCAACATAGAATACAGAGAATAAAGTGAGTGTAGTGAATGTCAATTTTGTGCTATTTTTATAATATAAAAATTTCATTAATGCTGTCGCAAAAAAGTTTATCACTTTTTCGATAAGCTGAAGTATCAAACTTAAACTGTCATAGCTCTAAAGACGTGTAAGTCGACCTTGTATTTTAACACAGCTCAATTATATCACTGCAATATTAGTCGTCGCTATGACACTCACGAAAAATATTATTAGTAAAAGTTGGCGTGACTCTGCAGCGTTGATAATTCTCGCTAAGCGTAGGAATGAGGTATCACCGCGAGTGAATAATGGTGGCCGTGTTAATTACGACATATTGTTGCAGACTCGAACGAATACGGCTTCGTTTGCTAACAGCGTGGTGTTTCCCGGCGGTGTCACTGAGCCCATCGACGGCTCCCAACGTTGGCTGACTCTTCTCTCCACCTTCGGGTATTCCAAACGAGACTTTGAGTCTTTCCACCACCCTGGCGGCCCCATTACGCCAATTTTCCAAGAGGATCCTATACAAAGGTAATATTATGTGAACCTTGACATTGACGTTTTTGTAAGTATACCTATATAATGACAGTAAATAGAAATGTGCTTGCACAGTTGTTAATTTATTTAATCTAATGGGTTATGCTTATGTAAACATTAACCAAAGCAGTGTGAATACCTACAATATAGCACCTGATCTTATAAATTTTAGATAAGTAATCTTTTGTTTGTTCATTTCCTATAACCTTTTAATGTTGAATTCAATTTACTGTAATTTTAAATATATACATAACTTTGCCAATATTTACTGTGGTACATTGGATTACATTGAAAAGAAATGAAGCTTAAACTAAAGCAAAAAATAGATAAAAAAAAACTCTTTGAAACAGGGTTTTTATCATTTTAAAATTTAAGCTTACTTGGTACGTTTTTATTTCTAGATTGAATTTCTTATTCAGTGTCGACAATAAATATTTCTGTTAGATGGCTTTTTTTTCTATAATTCCGTCCATTTTCATAGCAATCCAATTAGGAAATTTTAAGTATATTGAAAGAAAAATACATTAGGAGGGAATAAAGGAAAGGAAAATGAATGGTGTTCAGGTTCCTATACTCATCATTTGAACTGGCTGTCACTGGGAAGTTTGAGGTCTCACAACCACCTTCACACACAAACACATTTATGAACATACATAATTTTCTATTTAAATAATTTATCCTAGAGTTCACGTATCAGGCAATGTAAAATATGGGGGAGTGGAATTTTCTACTACAGTCATTATTTGCTTTCTTTTCGTTTCTGCACACAACTTTCTGTTTTGTGACACAGTAAATTTTATTTATTACCTTTAACAATATTTTTCATTAGATATTGATACAAATACACAAACAATTGCCACACAAACATTTTCTAATAGACTTGAATGGAGATGTTTAACATTTAGTAATTGTGTCAACTACAGTGTTATCAAAGCAGATCTGATAAATTAAGTAGCGTATGAACACTAAATAAATTGGCCTTTGAAATTGTCACATGTTATGTATGTTGTTAGTTACTGCATCAACAATGTCTATGTACATATTACATGTTTTATATAGTGTTATGTATATATACTAGCTGTACCATGCCATGCCTTGCTTTGCTATCGCACATTGTGGTTACATTGTTGAGAAATAAGGAACAAAACTAATGCAAATAGCTAAAAACAGTCTTTGAAGCCAATTGTATATCCTGTTAAAACTTGAGCTTGATCGGTGCAGAACTTTTTTGAGTTTTTGGAGTGTTGACTCAAAATTTGAAATTAGGATTCAGAGATAAGATAGGAGACTGAATAAAATAGGAGATAGTACTCCAAAATCCCCTTTTTAAGAAGAGGCCTATGTCCAGCAGTAGACTGTTAAAGGCTGATGAGGATTCAAAATATGTAACGTAAGTTATCAATAGCGTATGTAAGAATACTTAGCATGTAATCTGATCATTCATTCTTGAATGAATGAATGATCAGATCAATCTAAATCATTAATTTAAGATTGTATACAATGCTGCAGTATTGCTGGAACAATATGATCTTCGAAAATTTAACGAAAGAGTGTACTCCCACCTTAAAGATGAGCAATGTTCTTGTGACCTTTAAGTTGTTGCAGGCTGATGACTTTTCTGCTCATGGGCTATATAAAGTAAATAATCTACTCTAAACTTCGCCGTTGTAACCAATGATATAGTAAGGAAGATACATTATATTCAGATTGAACTCACAAAATATTTATTCTGTAACACTATACAGTCATCTATTAATGCAGTTTAGACTATGAATAAAAAACTATTTTACATAGATTTTAGAACAAAGCATATACTACAGAGTAATAGGAAAAAGGGAAAGCATAAGAGTGAAAGAGACAACAGAAGGCATTTTATGATTTTTTTCGAATTAGTACGAGAACGCGCTTTTTGTATACCTAATTAGGACCGTTTAGTGCCTTGATGGTGTATCTACCTCTTGTATGTATCTATCATTGCTTGTAACTGTCTTTTATATATGTAACGATATTCACGTTTACTATTATAATTAAATCAACAACACCTATTTCAATTTATAGACACATTCAACTAAGAATAACAGCTATAAGAGAGACATTTGAAGAGTTGGGCCTACTTATTTGTAGTCGAAAACACAAGAAACACCGCATTGGGCAATGGGCGGATGTTATTGAAGATATTGACGTAGCATATTGGCAAAATCGGGTAAATATATGACCGGTAGAACGCGATTTTGTAGTATCTCAAAATATTCAATTTCACATCGGAGATACGGTCTCTATTTAAAAAAATCATAACTCATAAGTTTTTTGTAAACTTTTTTGTGGCTAGTTTTCCTAAAGTATTATATCATCCTTTCTAAGGAGAGGCCTATGTTCAGCAGTGGACAAATTAAGGATTATACCACTTTAGAATATTGAATATTTGTGTCAATTTAAAAAAAAAACTTTGTAAAATTTAGGGAAATAATAATTTTGCTTGATTTTTGTGGAAATACTTCAGTACAAAAAATATAAAAACTGTTCATGGTACATAAAAATATAAGGGGTGTAAATTTTTTAGGGTTAACAAATTTATTCTAGTTATTTTAAAAAAATCGAGATTTCTTTCCTCGAATAGTCATAAATAAGTCCATCTGGTGCCTGCTTATCGTTGAAATATGGCACATGCTGTATATCTGGGCAAATATTCGTTCTTTCAAATCCTTTACTTTTCTGCGTTATTCACCCCCTGCAGAAAGTAAATTTACCATTGGTAATTAATCTAAAATACTCAATTATTTATATCAAGCACATGCCAAAAATTTAAATATGATACATAGTTTATTTTCAAAGATGATTTTATTTTTTACATATTATTACGGTAATGATGTAGAAGTATAAAGTGTGAAGAATCACCACATCTGCCTTTTAATTTTCAGATACACAAGAACCCAGAGGACTTGCTATTGCTCTGTGAGGAGCAAAAGTGCTACCCCGACCTATGGTCGCTGAATTACTGGAGCAACTGGCTAACCCCAACTACTCAAAAGAAAAGGTTTAACACTGCATTCTTTCTTGCTGCAGTTGAACAGAAGCCAGACATTAACAGTAACTCGGAAGTGACTAAAGTTGAGGTTAGTTGGTAAATTATAGGAAGTAGTTAACATGTATTTTGTAATAAAGAACAGAACTTCAATGGGCAAGTGAACTGATGATGACTGACGGTTTCTTATGTTGTTTTGTTAATTTATTAATAGAGGTCTAATGGTTAGCGATCTCTATTAATAAATTAAGGATAAACACATACACTCACGTCTTTTATTCCTGAAGGTGTAAACAGAAGCATTTTAAAAATGACCACACTCTGCTGACTGTAATTTTTAGATCAAATTCGGAAATAACAATGTAGATTTTTTTTTGCAGTGGTTAACTCCTGCTGAAGCCTTAGACGGTGACAGGACTTTGTACCCACCACAATTATATGAGATCAATCGGCTGTCCCATGTGAAGGATATTAAAAAATTGATAAAATTTGCCAATGAGCGTAGCAGATATGACAGTGAGCTGTCATTTCCAGTCTATGTGAAAGTTAAGGATGGCATCCTACATTTATTGCCTGGTAATTCATTAAAATAATTATAATTTTTTTTGAATCAATTTATTTCCTAATGAGAATGATTAACCTTAAAATGTTTGTTTACAGGTGATGACTTATACCCTACAATTGTAGACTACAACGACAATACCATTAAATATATAGACAAAACTATACTAGAATTAAGAGGAAGTAGTAAAACACTTAATAGACTCGAAATTTGTGAGAACAACCGAGTGTTTATAATAAAAAATTACAAACCGGAACATCATATCAATATGGAAGATCAGATCATTGGAGCAAGGGCCACAGTATAATATTTCGTAGTTCCCGTTCATGCCTTAAATATTGGCCTTACTAGAAGTAACAAACTGAACAAAGTAGCTACTCAACTCAGGATTTAGATCAATAGATATAACTATGGCGAGCTCCAGTAACACTTGGCCAAACAGCCAAGATGATTACGAATTGCATGACGTAATAGGTGTTGGTGCCACTGCAGTTGTGGCCGCAGCCTATTGTCGTCCTCGAAATGAAAAGTGCGCCATCAAAAGGATAAACCTCGAAAAGTGGAACACTTCCATGGACGAGCTTCTCAAAGAGATCCAGGCTATGTCCAGTTGCAATCACGAAAATGTCGTTACATACTATACTAGCTTTGTCGTGAAGGAAGAACTGTGGCTGGTGCTCCGGCTTCTGGAAGGCGGAAGTTTACTTGATATTATTAAACACAAAATGAGGATATCCAACTGTAAACACGGAGTGTTTGACGAGGCGACTATCGCCACTGTGTTGAAAGAAGTATTAAAAGGCCTGGAGTATTTCCACCAGAATGGACAGATCCACAGGGATATCAAGGCGGGGAATATTCTGTTAGGAGACGACGGTATCGTCCAGATTGCAGACTTCGGCGTATCGGCGTGGTTAGCCACGGGACGTGATCTCTCGCGACAGAAAGTACGACATACGTTTGTCGGAACACCATGCTGGATGGCGCCGGAAGTCATGGAGCAAAATCACGGCTACGACTTTAAGGCCGACATCTGGTCTTTCGGTATCACGGCTATTGAAATGGCTACAGGCACTGCACCATACCACAAGTATCCACCAATGAAGGTGTTAATGTTGACTTTACAGAATGATCCACCGACACTGGATACAGGTGCTGAGGAAAAAGATCAATATAAAGCGTATGGTAAAACATTTAGAAAGATGATATCAGAGTGTCTGCAGAAGGATCCAGCGAAACGGCCGACTGCTACTGAGCTACTAAAGCATTCTTTCTTCAAAAAGGCACGTGACCGCAAGTACCTAGTCTCTACATTGGTAACAATCGGACCAAGTATGGAAACTCGTGTTCACAAAGCGAGCAGGCGGCAACCAGGCGCATCTGGACGACTTCACCGGATGGAGACAGGCGAGTGGGTGTGGGAGAGTGAAGAAGATGATGATGATGAGGACGATGCGGCTCGCGACCGCCCCATGAATACTCTAGCCCGCGCCGACAGTTCCGACAGCGAAAGCGATGATACTCCTGGCGGCGGCGGCTTCACTATCGGCTCCCTGAAGGCGGGAGATGCACCCGTTATAAACCTAGTGCTTCGAATGAGAAATGCACGTAAAGAACTCAATGACATACGTTTCGAGTTCGCTGCTGGCAAGGATTCAGCCGATGGCATAGCTACAGAACTGGTCGGGGCTGGACTTTTAGATGCAAAAGATGCGGATGTGACCGCACGCCAATTACAGCGACTAGTAGATGACAACTTATTCGCGTCGGCTGGACAGACACCACCGCGTTCTATAACGTTCCGTCTGGACTCGGCGCCGCCCGAGCCCTTGGACGAACAGAGCTTGCTAGGCTTCGCACAGATCTCCATCGTTGACTAAACATCTGGCGCCCAGAAATCTATTACACGTTATGCTTAGAACCTACGTATCTTAGGGGTGGATATGGAATTATATTAGTTGTATACTGTTTATGCGGCAGTAATTTTTATACAATGATAATTTATGCAGCCAGTAGAGATGGGAAGGGATGTAGCTCGCCAGTCATATTGCCTCCCCGAGTCCAAGCCATGTTATCTTTGTACGAAAACTATCGCCGCGTAGCTCAAATGAATGTATATTTTACATTATGATTATAAGGGTGAATCTGAATTTATAAGAGTATTTTTTTGTGATCGTACTGTGTCAATTTGCTGCTTTCAAACACTGTAATCGATTAGGAACTACTAATATTTTAAATTACGATGACAATGTACGACAGTCACAAGCGCGGGCTGCTTGAAAATATCCAACACGTAAGTCTGAGCACTTGTATCATATTTTACTTTCTGTAATTAACTTGTATAAACCTCAAACAAGTTCAAAGTGCCATATTTAACAAATATTAATGGATATAATACTGTGTGTTACGCAGTGATAAAATCGCATATATAAATAATCATTACAGTGTTAATTTTAAATAGCAGGTCTGTATAGCACCATAGAATGTTCTTTTTACGTTGTTATTTGTTTGTTGCTTATTTTGGAAGTATTTTAATAATAAAAGATGAAATCGATTTCGGCAGGATGTTTTATTAAAACTTCTATGATTTTTCAAATACTTTAACTAAAAGCTATTTTGTTATGAAACTACAATTACATAATTATATATTTGTCGAGTTGAGATGTCGCAGAGCACGGCGTTCGGTGCCATGCGCTATAGGCAAGTACAGTTAGTACTGCGCGCTGTGAGTAAAACTAATACAAATCTTGAGTATAAACTGAGTTTGGCATCTAAACGTCATCAACGAATCTACAACATACCAAAATATTAACCAACCCTCGTTCCTGTTCATAACATTATAACGGTACTCTTAATTCTAAGCGTAATAGGAAAGCAATAACTGTATAAAAATAAGTATATAGGTACAAACTTAACGTCCATAGTGAGTTGGTCCACTAAAAATAAACAGAAGTCGATTGTCAGCTTACAGTATTAGACCTACAACAAGAAATGCGTTACCTAAGCTAAATGCTATCGTAATTCGGAATTCAATATCTATTAAATGCATGATGTATGTAATTGTAAATATATTCGAGACCATGTTCCAAATATTGCATGTTGTAAATAATCGTAAATCAATTCAAATACAGTATTTGTAAATAACTTGTATTTTCTTTTAAGCGAAAACTAATTTTTGCGCATGTGAAGCTACAAATTTAAATTTTTGGTTACTTTAAACTTTTTCGACTTTAAATGCCTATATTTAAAAAATCGAAAGACAACAACATTTTGTTTAGATAACACACACACACAAACGGTAAGTCATTAACAAGTTATAATAGTTAAATGCAATGCAGTCCATTTATTTATAATGTTATTATTTAGTAATTTTAATTGACAGTTGTAATAAAAATTAAGCCATGGTGAGGTTTATAGCAAAATTGTTAAATACAGTGGTTTCAAGTAGAATTACTTTTTAAACATCGCTCGGAGTTATATCGAGTTGGTCACTAAATATAACATTATGAATACTATTTAAAGTTTACACCGTGTCCACTATATTTCACAAAAAAAATAATCTGAGAAAACGGGTATCGTAGTTTTTAAATATTTATCTTGTCTAACAGAGCACCACTATACTTTTATATACTAAAGTAATTGAAGAATGAGTACCTATAAACCTTTTTATATATTTGTTCTACTTAATTTAGAAAATTGTACGTTAGGTGCAGATAAAGCCAGATAGATTGCTTTATTTTGTACATATTTAGAGACTCATGTATTGTTTTTAATAATATCTATCATTGGTAACAATTTTTTCTTTAAACTTTTTAATTTCGCCGTTGGTCATCAAGTAATGTCATATAATATTATTGATAAACACATTTCATATCAGTATTTTTTGAGCTGGAATACGACAAATCAGTGGCCCGATAATAATAAGAAAGTGTTTTACATAAGAGAAATAATTGCTTATTTGAATTGACCACAACTAGTGCAACCTGATCAAAACTACAGGCAATAAGTAACAAGCCTACTATGATGAAAAAGTTTTTCTGCTTCCGAAATCCGAAATTGATTAAAATTTCCATTTTTAAGATTGAATCATTCAATATATAGTGAGCGCCGTGTTATTTAAAAGTGGTCTTGGTTTACAATGTTTTATTCTTACATCTAGTGCTATTATAAAGTTTTGAAAGAAATTTACATAGTGACTAGGTAATAAGAAGCGTGTAATCAATAATTGTACTTAAATCTAACACACTCACTCTAATAAGGCATTAACAAGATGGAACTGTGTCTTTAACAAAAATATCAATGTAACTTTACATGAAAGTACCTTAAACACATTGTTGGGCTAAGGGACCCCGACAACCACAATTTGATAATAAAATAAACAACAAGATATAAAAAAAAGGAACCTTACAATAAAACATTTTATTACATATAACGTATAATAATAACGTTTTACTATAAAGTTATTACGAGGAATGTAAAGGCTGTGTAAGTATAATTAAAAGTAAAAATTAAAGATCAATATACGCTCAGGAGGTTTTAAGTAATGAGAGATTCGATTTAGCCCTTTTTTAATATTGACACATAGCTTTCTTAAAATATAATTTTAATAAGACTGACAATTTTTTTTAGCTATTCTGCTCGCGTTATTTCTTTGTAACAGCCAGAGAAATTCATATCATTTTCGCAAATAAAAGTAGGTAGTCTTGAAATGAAACGTAAAATGGAGACAATAATATTATCATTCACATACACACATATATATGTATGCATTCACATGATGATCATATACCTCACCATTAATGGCATGCATCAAAAAAGTAGTTGGTAGGAAATAATTTCCTACTGACTACTTTTGGATAAGTCTTCACTCCTAGAGAATCCTCTGTGGCCCATCCAAGAAATCATGTTAAAAAGCACTTCTTAAGCATACAAGAGTGACGGATTATTCTTTCTTATAGGTGTTAGCCATCTCTTAAGATTGTTCAATGCAATCCGAAGTCACGTTCTTATGTTTTGCAATGTGTGACCTATCTCACCTGGTAACAAGCTCAGACGAATCATTAGTCTCGATTTGTAAGGTACGACGGCAGCACTCTGGTCTACCCTAACGAGAACTTACGCAAACAGATGCATTAATAGAAAGGCAGAAATGTTAAACATATACCTAGTACGCTTGTATTTACCGTATTTATACATATTATGCATATCAGACAACGGACAGTTTATTTCCTATTTAGATTTGTACAAGTTTGGAAGTATTTCCACAGCGCTTAAATTCTACTGTCATATCCTCGCATCAATATCGCTACTCCGTCGGGAGCTCCTGCCCTATCAATAAATATACAAAAATTTGTGCAGAAAATATAGAAACAGCAACATTTTTATGACTAGTATAATAAAATATATGGCACATCTAAAATAATAAAAATATAAATAACTTTTGTGCGCGATTCTTAATTTCTATGAAAATAAATATGTTAAGCGAACTACAGACTGTTGGAAGACTAAATTATTTCAGTGGAATGTTATTAGAAAGTTTTAATACAACAGTGAGATTCATTCAGAAGAATATTGTTATAAATCAGAACTTTTTTTGAAGATCTTTTTTTAAAGACTAGGCCAATGTAATTAAAAAATAAATTTGCATTAGGAACGTATAGAACCCACAAATCTCTTGTGCCGTGCAGAAGAAAATATAGATTTAAGCTTATAAAGTAATTGTACCATGAGAAAGCGTATAGCGGTGATCTTACACTAATTTTAAGTACGTGAATTTAAGTTTTTGTATAAGAATTGTCGTAGAGTATAAATCAGTGCGCTGACTGAATTATTTGACACAGAAACAGGACCTAGTTATTAGAAATTTGTAATTAAAAGAAGGCAAATAGCACTCTTAGAATAAAAGTGATGTAATTCAAAATTCCTAGAACTTTGATTTTGGTACAAACCTACTAGATAGTCTAGTAGCGAAAAAGATACCAAATTATGAGTAAGAAATGAATAGGTATTCAAGAATTTTTTGCTCTTGTCACCTTCATTCTAAGTTTGCAAAACATGATGGTTAAACATTAGATTTTAAATAATTATAAATGCAATGTGAATTTGCAATTTGCAATAATTGTTTGTGAACATTTTATAAAGATTTATCTGCCTTCATCAATCAATTTAATCATCAATTTAATTTCTATAACTCTATGCATTTTAAGTATGTAATATTTTAAGTAAGCAAGTGCATTGGCAGTCAACACACTGATTACACTGTATGATAATAATTCCTAGAATTATTATACGTCCCCGCCAGAAAAACATAAACACAGCTCTCAGTAACTTTGACATAGCACACAGCTACGAGGAACGAACTTGGAAGATACAACTAAATTATCGTAAACTGCATCTATTTTATCAAATTATTACAACTTCAGTTTCATATTTACAATTTTTTGTCTTTATACGGTCAAGTAAACGTTTTGAATTAAGTATTTTCAAAAATGGAGTCCGAGAGTGAAGCACTTTTATCCCCACATTCGACTTTAGTGAATTGAACTTGTAACCACAACTTTGGGCATAAAATTCTAAGTTTAATTTCTTTTAAAACACTTGACACATTTTTTTTTTTAGGAATTAACTAGTTAACTTGTAATTTCTGAATTTATGATACTCAAAAATACAATACTATAGAGCTTTTAAGCTTGTGATTAGTAATCGATTTCATTTTAAAAATTAACCTTTTTTGTGCATTCAGGACCTACGGAGTGTCACCACCCCTATTTATTAAGTGGGTGTCGTAAGAGGCGACTAAGGGAGCAAACCACGCAGGACAAGACCACTGCAAAGAGAAGGAAAGCTTGACACAAAACCCTTACCAACTCGTCTGGCCAGCGTCGTATATTAGCCAAAATATCCTTTCTAAGGAGAGGGCTTTGTCCAGCAGTGGACTATTAAAGACTGTTGATGTGATACGATGACAGAATATCGTGTATCGTATCAAAATAAGAATGTAATATTTGATATTTATACAAAGAGCTCAATCGAAATGTATTTTACCAAACTCCCATAATATTTTTGACATTTACTCAACCGTATAAAGACGAGTTTAGCACAACGGATGGAACCGAGTCAACGTCAGTCTGGCGGGGCCGTGACGTCACTGTTCGCTCAGCGAGGCTTTTCGCCGCAGTCGGAATCAAAACAGCTCCAACAGCTTCCGTTTGAAGTAATCCTTTAGCGGCGCGTAGTAATACGTGCGGAGGGCCAACAACTCCGGTTTGCGTCTCAAAGCTCGTAGAGGCGCCCATTCGGTTTCAAAAAGCAGTAGGGCTAGCAGCGCGAGAGCTAACCAAGCCAGGGCGAAGGATGGGACGAACGCTCGCAGTAAGCTGAAGGGGCGGGGCGCCAACATGGGCGTGGCGGGCGCGGCGAGGCGCGGCGCCCCAGCGGCCAGCTCGGAGCCGGGCGCTGCGGACGTGGCGCCCGACTCGGAGGACGACTGCTCGAACGACTCTCGGAGTCTGTATTCGGTTGAAAGCGCTGTAACAAGTAATTAATTGATATTGTAAATATTATTTTCGTTCATGCTTAGGTATCGTCTCGTATATAGGGATTAGTATACTTAAGGACTCGCTTTAGATTTGAAATAAAGGTAATCATTATGTTTACTCTTGGGTTTTTTTTTTAGTTTCTGTTAATACCAACAAAATCTAGTTAATACGATTTTTTATTTTTCACCATTTTTTTTTTTTTTTTTTTATTTAATAGTCGAGGTTATCACCGAGGTAGGTATAAAAGAAAGTAATCGATTAAGTCTTAAGACCAAAATGATTAATGTTTTTTTTTTGTTTTCTTTTTACCCTTTGCCGACTCCAAATATAATTGAAAAAATGGATAATGACTTATAGTAACGAAAAACACGTTTACCCCTTGGGATCTACTTCATCAGAAAACAAAAATCTGCTTAAAAAAACAATTTAATGCTGTATTATTTTAATCTAACGTATTGTATAGATATGTTTTACCTAAACAAGAACGACTGTTTGATAGAATTAAAATTACCTGAAAAATATTAAAATTTATTTCTTTTAAGGCCATTTCTATGGAGGCCATGGAGCTGGAGTACTGGAACATAGAAACTATAAATATTATACTTTAGTAGAGTAACACTAACCGGGCGGTTTGGGCTCGTCGTTGGCGCGCGGGTGGTCGCAGCACGCGAGCGCGATGTCTACGGCGGGCCCGCTCAGCAAGCACGCGCCGTTGCAAGCGCGAGCGTCCCCCCCGCCGCCCCCCTCGCCCGCGCTCTCCTCCAGCGGCGCGCTGTGCGTGGAGCGCGGCAGGCTGCTGTAGCCTGCGATCACACAACGCTTATACCTTCCACTATTCATTCCACTCGAGAGACGTAGGTAAGGTATGTAGGGGAACGGATTGTGTACCCCTTCAACTCGAAGAATTTCCCAATTGGACTAGGTGATTATGCCTTGCAGACAGAGGCAGAGTATCTTAATTGGCTCACACTTATTCACTTACCTAGATGAATTGGAAATAATAGATTATTTATAAAAAAAATACTATGACTCAGTTGTTAGTATAACTTAAAGTCTATGTTAGTACTACAGCCCCATTCCAGATGAGACAGAACTGCAGTGATTTACATATTGACAATCGATTTAATATTTACTATATTTTCACACATCCTACACACGGTGGTCTGATCCCAAACTAGACGGAGCCTGTACTATGGTAACCAGACTGCTGATAAACATACATAACACACACATACATAACAAACATACAACATACACACATATTATTATATATTTCTAAATACACACATACTATAAATAAAGTACACCCAGACACAGAACAAATGACAGTTGCCTATCACACAATTATTTATCCTGGGTGGGAATCGAACCCACGACCTCTGGCGTTGCAGTCAGAGTCACCAACCACTAGACTAACAGGCCAGCCGTATTCAAACGTAATCAATGATTTACATATTACAGAAATAGGGCAGCCCCACTTCTGCATCTTTTTTAAAGATCATCTGGAGTTCTTAACTCGAGCATACTTCATTAAACTTGAAATATTATCTGGTGTATGTATATAATAAAATAACTTACCAAAGTCTCCAATCATAGGTGTAGATGGGGTGGCTGGCACGCTGGACGCTTTTCTCTTGCCTCCTGTAGTCGGGTCGTCCTAATTAATAAAAGGAAATCATATTTAAAAAATACAAGACCAAAATTCAGATTATATTAAAACCTTTTTTAAAAAGAAGTTGAACCGACTTCAAACAGCACTAAAGGACTAAAAACTTAGCAGCAATCGCGGTTGATTTGCTGTCATTTTTTGAAGAGTTCCGTCGTCTGTCTTCGAAACTCACCATCAGATCTATATGAAATTTAAATGGGACCATTTCGATATAAATCTCTTTCGAATAAAAAAATCTTTTGAAAATCCGTCGGTATATGACAGAGTTATGACATAACATACATAAAAACTCATCCCAATTTATAACCGCCTCCTTTTTGAAGTCGGTTAAAGACTAGGTTTGGAGAGTGCTAGGCTTTAAGGGAATGTTTCTTCCTAAGTATACGACGCCGGTATAAAAAAAATATGGCAAAATGGTATTAAAGTGGCCTTGCAAAATAGTAGTTTGTAATTAGCCTCCATCTTACCATCGTAATATCTGCTTTAGTAAGTAGTCGTAGTTTTCCATAACGTTAAAATAAAATAATACCGTTCCAACCTCGTACCTGAGAATCTCTAGGTGCTAGTAAGCCGTCCCTTTCTAATATCTCTCGTTCCGTACGACCGAAGTATTTAAACTTAGTGCCCCACGAAAACAGACCGCCACCGGAGTAAACGCATGCGTCTGATGATGAAGGCAACCTTGAAATATAAATAACTTTTATTGCTGACTAAAAATTAACTGAGAAAAAAAAAAATGGCCGCCATTTGCTGTGTTATTATAGGTAGCTCTTGCTTACCATAGACAAAATCGAACAGATCTTTGTATTGGAGATGTTAGTGGTGTAGACTGTAGCTACTTACGTAAAAAACAACATCTGCTCTATGGCACAACACCAGACATGCCTGCAGGCCGCTCCGCTCGGACATTTGAACCCAACAGTGTGTTTCTTCTGTAACGAAGAATGTTACTTATGACGTCTTGTATAAGATAAAAAGATTATTCCTGTCAGATGTATGATGATTCTCCAGGCGTGGCGGGTTCGACTTCTGCTTACTGCATTTTTTTATGGTAGAGAGGGCAAACGAGCAGACGGGTCACCTGATATAAAGTGACTACCGCCGGCAATGATTGCCTGCAACTCAGGAGTCACAAACGCGTTTCCGGACTTTTAGAAAGGAGTAGGTACGCTCTTTTCTTGAAGATTTGAAGGGGGTATCGGTCCGGCAATACCGCAGACAATAACTTATTCCACAGATTCCATTACTTAATAGATTAGACCTTAACTGTCTATAATCTTGCTATATCTTTATGTACATGTACCTATAGAAGTATCTAAATTACACAAATAAATAAATTTGCATGAAATATATCTCTTAGCGCTAATGATGGTTTGCGCTGTTTAAAAATCAGTTTCCAAAATATAATTTATTTCCGAGGTCTTAAAACTACAAATATATGTACTTTTATCAATACGATTTTTATATTAAAACAACAACAAAACAACACACTATAAATCAATACAAAAAACGTTGAAAACTTCATACAAAGCAAATGTATTTAACCAGTAATACATGCTAAGTTATATATAATAAGCTAAGTTGTTATAGTACCTATACATTTGTTTTACTTAACATAAATACTTTTAAAAGGCTGACCTGATTTACATTGCCGCGCTCATCTAATAAATTCCCTTCCTTACTACCTTTTGGAATGTACAGCCGAAATGTCCTTCCGTATGATCACGTATGTTCGACACGCACTAATACGACACATACTAGACTGATCACCATAGCAGGTCACCCGCAGTCAAAATATTATATGTTAATATTAAAAGCCATTTCATACAATTTCAAGACTTTTTCTCAAATATGTAGTAATTGGTTGCGAGAACGGAACACGCAATTATGGCTACTACATATTTAAGGCATTGCTCATGACTGTTGAACCACAGTTGTATGGTAATTAATTACTTCAATTTTCCTTAGTTTTAACCAAGAATATGTCTTGTGTTTCATTCAGTCAAACATTCATAAAACGGACACAAAGAACACCTAGACTCAGTACAACACGCTATGTCATATTGTCCCATGTGGGGATCGCACCCACAACCACTACACCATGCGTGCAGTCGAAAATGTAGTCCTTTGTAAACATAAATAATAGCTTTTGAACCTGAATTAAAATGTTTTGTAACTCCCAGCCTTTGAATTGAATATCCAGTTAATAGTACCAGTTTTAGGCACATAAATAATAATAAAAGCAACCGTTACAAAAATCCGTATTCAAGGTCACACCTAGGGAGAGCAGATGTACTAAATCAGGTATGGACAGATGTAAACGGAATAATTCGAAACCCTTGCTGAGTGAAATGTTCAATAAACTGTATTATATTGTGCAACGGGTATTGTTGATAAATAAAAGACTACCGACATTGTATTAAATATCTGCTGTTTAATAATACATGCAAGCAATAGTTCCTATTATTAAGTAAAATGATTGCAGCATGCTGGTCAATCCTTGTTACCTAAAGTAGGGTGCCATTGTATATAATATATAATTTTATAAATGATTTTTGCCAGAAACATTTTTAAAATGCATGACTGTACTTCATCGTTTGTAAAATGCTAAATATTATGTGAAAAAACTTAAGAAAAGAAGACAAAATTCATGTCAGATGCTCAATTCAGATTTACATAATATATAATATACATAATGGATAGATTTTCACTACAATATATGGATAAAACACCAAAAAAAAATATGTAAAAACTACATATTTTTTCGGATTTTTAAAAGACAACACCCGCACTAGGAATATATACACAGGTGTCGTGGGTGACTTCACAAATATTCATGAAACGGACTTCCAAGACTCAGAACAACAATTTGTGGACCACACAACTTGGATCACAGAAATTTGAGGATCAAACCCACAACTCTCAGCGCAGCAGGAAGCGTCGAGGTGACCGCTTAACAACTTCGCAGTCCTAGGCCTAATCATAACATAAAATTTCAACTTTATAGGTTAATAACTTTACTTACCTCTGGGTAATTTAAATGCACGATGAACATCCGTCCTTCGAAGTTGATTTTGTGCACTTCGGACCATTTAAAGTGGTGCGTCTTTCTACTACCTTGAAAGATGAGGATGCCGCTGTGGTTGATGCCCAGGTACAGCTGGTTACCTCGATGGTCCTGCTGAAAGAGTGTAAATGGAAAATATCTCTAACATTAGGTGTTTTTTTTTATTTTTTATTGTTTTAAGGACAATATTGATATATTTTGGTGGTAATCTTAAGATAATTGTCCCCTTTAGATTTATATTTCGAACGCCATGCATAATATTTTATGTGATTTCTTTATGCAAAAATATTTTTTATGCATTTGTTATTCTATCTCGTCCCTCAAAAAACAGATTAATGTGAAGGAACTCCTAAAATACTCAAAGAGGCTTTATCGATTTTTATAAGGAATTCGATCAATTCTTCAATAAGACTTCAATGCGCCTAATTCAGAATAAATTGTAATATGTATTGTATTGTGTGTATTCTTGACCTCATCATTTTTCACTTGTAGTTTTCTCCATAATTTTCATCAAAACCGAATATTTTATTATACCTAGTCAAAACATATAAAATACATATGGAAAAAAAATCAGTCAAATAGGGTAGATTCCTAGGTTTAAAATAAATAAATTCGCCTGCATTATTAAATGTAACATCTTAAAGTAGAGCCTGATTTGTTATCCATTATTTATTTAATCTTTTTATTGATTTGATATTTTGATATGGTCCGATGCAAACTTAATGGCGGCTCTGAAGTTAGCTGCGCAGGGACCTACAGTCAAGTCGACTCGTCTGTATACAGGGATATACGCGCATGTCAGAGTACGGATGTAACTCACACACTAAAAGGCGTGTCGTGTGTCGCCCTGCCCCCACGCTACTTTACGTCCCGCTGCTGTCTATTATTGTGTTCTGCGCATCAAAACGCACGATATTCCGAGCCGCCATTAAATTTTGCATCAAAATTAAATATAAATGTTTTGACAATAGCTAGGTTTGACGTCACGAAATAGTATTTCATAGAAAAATGTACCGCGTCTTTGACATTTAAAAAAGATACTGAATAGAGTTGACAGTCATTTACCCTATTGAGAACCTCTTTCCTCTTTTTTACCCGACTGCGCCAGAAAAGAGAGAGAAGAGTATCAAAAACAGAACCTCCCGTTATGTTTTTGATACTGATAAATTCAAGCTCTAATTTAAGTTGTTACATTTAATTATGCAGGCGAAATAAAAAAAAACTAGGAATCTATCCTTTAAAATTTCCGGTTTGTAAATTTCAACTACTTATCTAAAATATGGCAAGTGTGCACATTGGAGGTGATGGGTACCTTGACAGGATGTGGGTCGACTCCGTATGTGTCCAGTTGGCAGGCGATCTTAAGGAAGGTGCGCTCCGCCTCTTGTGTCGTCATGCCTTTAACCCCGCCGCTCCCACCCGGTGTACCCTCCACCGGCTCTCTGTGTAGCTCCTATAGATTCGGTGACCAATTCATTTTGATTAGTACTCTTTTTGATATCTGTTTGTCCTTTTTTGTTTATACATTGCACAACATTTAGCAAGAATTATTATCAAAGCTTGGTCTATATTATCTATGTGTAACAAAACAAAATAGAAGCAATTCTTTTCTTATTAAAATAGAAGCATAATAGTTAAAAAACATTACAACAAATAACAATAAAGACAAATAAATTTTATTATGATTTCAGAGAAATTTGAAAAATAACAGGACCACAAAAAAACATCAATGAAAGGTTCCTCCGACCAGACCAAGTAGAGTTACATGTTTTTTGGGTCGCTAAATCTAAATCCAAAACCCTATTTGCTCTATCAAGTCAGCATTTTCTCCTAACCTCAAAAAGTAAATAAAAGTGGTTAAACTTAAACATATAATAATATATCCTAATATATTTTTAAGCCATAACTTCATACATTTCATTCCTTTAACCTTAAGACCAAAAATGTACATCCCTAAAATTTGTAACTCGATAAATTATTACCTTGAACTCACGTTTTTAACCCCTTTTTTTTTTTTTTTTTTTTTTTTTTTTTTTTCCGTGCGGAAATCCCCTCGGATACCACCTGTCGGTGGCATGTCGGACTCGAACCGACTAAAACCGCACGCCTTCGCCGGGTACTAATAGCCGGGGAACCAGGTATACCCTAGAAAGGAAGGCCCTGGTGCCCCGACATACCTCGGGTCATCTACAGACGAGTAGACGACCCCCGCCCCGTGTGGGAACCCCATGTTCCCTGTGCTCCCTGGAAGCGAGCGCGCTTCGCAACGCGCTCGCCGCCTCCCCGGCCTGCTTCTGCTAGGGTGACAGATGGCCTCACCTGTCACCCCCAGGCCTGCGCTTATGGAGGACGGAGGTCTTTCTGCGACCTCCGGCGCCTGAGTCGCCTGCGCTGCCTGGCCCGTGCCCGGGCCTGGCGGGCCGGGAGAGTTCTAAACCTCTCCCGGTCCCGCTCCGCCGTCTCCTTCGCGAGCATAACTTGCTCGCAGAAGGAGACGGCAGAGTTCCACGCACTCTCGCTCCGCACGATAGCCGCAATCAGGCTATCGAGCGAGAGAACTCCCACTCCGATGGCCGCCACGAGGTCTCGCCTCTGCTCAACCCACGCCGGGCACTCTGCCAGCGTGTGGAGAGCCGTGTCCACGGTCTGGCCATCGCAGTGGTGGCACTCAGGCGTTGGCTCCTTGCGGATCAGACACAGGTGATCTCCGAAACATCCCTTCCCAGTGATCACCTGCGTCAATCGGTATGAGAGGGTCCCGTGACGCCTCTCGAGCCAATCCTCCATAACGGGTCTTACCGCCGCAATGACGGCGTGCCCGACGTTTTTAACCCCTAACAATCTTATGAAAGTTTAATTCACTGAACACGTGCTACTGAGACTGGACTATTGAAGAATATCAACCTAATAATCTTATTCAATATTTATTAACATTCAAACCTGATAACTCCATAGCATTAAAACAACGTTATCCTGCAGGCCTAAAATTCCATATTGTTAAGTTAAGTTAAGTTATTAATTTTTTTATTTTTTTTTATTTAAAGGGCTTTGTCGCTGTGCGACCACATCGCCCTGTGACATATTGTTAAGACTTAAACGAGAAACGTTACGTCTGTACGTTTTTCTGTATCATGCTCGTTAAGATGTTTTATATAAAAAATCATGGGTTTTAAGGTTATCATTTCCAACGGTATAAGATTAAAAGATTATGAAGTTTAAGGTTTTAAAATGTTTTAGAATGTATGAGTTTAAGTTTAACCATTGTTATTCATTTTTTGAGGTTAGGAGAAGATGCTGGCGTGATACAGCAATTCACGTTACGAATTTGGATTTGGACCCAAAAAAACATATAGTACACTTGGTCTGCTCAAAGGAACCTTTCATTGAATTTTTTAGTGGTCTTGTGTAATTCATTTTAAAAACTAAAATCATCATTAGATTTACATTATTGAATTATCGCACATGGCCAGAATACCTATCATCCATATTTATATTATAAATGTTACATTATCAGCGAGTAACATAGGCTACTTTTTACCACGATAACAGATATACACGCGGGCAGAGGCGCGGTGAAACCTAGTTACATTATAAATACAAGATGTACCCATTTCTTTAATATATAAGTATTTTGTACGTATATCACTAGGTTCCTCTTAAACGGATGGACGAATTGTGATTGTAATTACTCTAGTTTGATTTCATCGAGATTATTCTTAGGTTTTCAAGCTATAGTTAGTTTTGGGTCAAAACAGTGATTTTTAATTGTAGAAGACGGATTTTATTAAAACCTGAATGAATTACACTGATTGATTAATTGTTTCTTATAAATACTGTACATATCTACATTTAAAATGTTGCATCGACGTCAAGCCGACTATATTCCGAATTGTAATAAACTGGATTAGAATTATTCTTTATTTTAAAAATAAAATAAATCTGTTCATAAATGACGGAGAAGCCAATGAAAAACCTTGTTAGTCGGTTAGAAAAAACATAGGGATTCTTCTGGCTTATAAAGTAACTTATTACAAATAACAAGCATAATTCTGTTTAATCAATAAGTATCAAAATGTGATCGAGAACGTAACACTTCCGCAATATGAGTACATCATTTAGAACTGAACACTTCCTCAAAATAAGTACCCAATTGTTGCATAACGAAGAGCAAACTACATGTTATGGCTTCGTCATCACTTCTCTGGAAGTTGTTCGAACGATAGCCAAATTATTTCGTAACATTAAAATCATTGTGCAAGATATTTTGTGATATTGTGCAATCTATACTCTTTTAGTACTAAATATTGAAGGTATTATACTTTTACCACATTGTGTGTTTAGTTACTACTGTTAGCAAACATTGCACACAATCTAAGGTTTCAGGTGTATTATAACTCCCAAGAATTAACCAATAAAATAAGAATTGGATATAAAAAAAAACTGGATATTACTAAAAAAGTCGTGGATTGGTTCAAGAATTTTGCAAATCCACAACTTTTATACTAATAAGGCGACAAACAAGCTTACGGAGTTCATAATTGTGAGCAATAACTAAATCTTCACAACAAAGCTAGTTTCTCAGTTCTAAATACCCAAAGTCACTGGAACACAATACTGTACACATATACAGCTCTCACACTGTTAGGTATTACAATAGGCATCAATACTCAGTTACTCTGAGAGGGTGTATTAAAATGTTTGTTAATTTGAAGTTAATACAATATCCTAAGACAGAAACATTGAGGAACTACACAATCCTCGAGCATGGAAGCTTCGAATGCTCACAATGGATTATTAATTAATCTCACCTGTATCCTCGCTTCAATTACTTCCGTTTGTCTCAGTAACAACCTCATTTCTGTTACGTAATTCCCAACGTGAATGTTCGGATCGTAATCACCAAGTTCGACTGCAACATAGTTAAAATCGTTATAGAATCGTTTTTAAGATGCAAAAAAAATTTATTTCATAATATAAAAAACTGATAAAAACGAAAAGTACAAAAAGGCTACATAGTTTACAAGATTTATTTTATTTATTTATTTTACTTAATAGGTACAGTTACAGACAACAGCTGATGCGTCACACAGTAACAACATACAACTTCAAATCTGAAGTCCAATTAAAACTATACACTTCATTCACAATCGTGGTAATAGAGCTTCAATTAGGTGTCAAACAAATGCAAAAAAGAAAAATTAAAAAGGAAAATGAGATGCAGTAAATTGACTAATTAGTTATATTTACAAATGTCTTACTATAGTTTTACATGGATGAATTTTTTTTTGGTATGCTGGTACGAATGAACTAATGATAATATGTCTTCATTAAAAAATACAGAAGAAAATTCTTTGACCCTACTTTATGTACAAACTTAAAGATTTGCGTTTTGTACATGTTACATGCGTTTTGTTATATATTTTATTACTCTTCTGTTGTTATTTATGATCATGGTTTTAATTATAGGAATTAAATTGAAATTAGCCAGCATGAAATTTAATCATAAATATTACCAAATTATAGTTGCAAAATGAAATTTAGTACAGATTTTTATAGTATGCTTGTGTAAAACATGCATGATATTTTATAAATACTTTAATGTGCTATTTATTTAGTAAGATAAAACAAACTGAAAATATAATTTGTTTTAAACCTAATTAAACAGTAGTGTTTTTTTTATATCTATTTAGTGATGAGTTTACAACCAGTGTAATTATCAAAATAAACAATTACTCCATATATTAATTTATACTTGAGTGTTTATAAAAAATTAGGGAGCAATATTTTGTTAGTGACAATAATGTGCTTTTATTATGTAGTTATATCATTGTCCTAACTTAAATATTTAAAATATAAACCTTCGTTTGCAGTTAATCCACTGCTGGACATAGGCCTCTCCATAGAAAGGAGGTTTGCAATCATAGTCATAGTTTATTTCCAGTAAAGATGTTGTTATAAGCAAAAGCAAACATCATGCATAGAATTTTTACAAATTATGACTTTATTTACGGACAAATAATAGAAGTTAAAAGAGGTTTGATTATGGCAAATTTCTTTTTTTTTGTGTAGTTCAACTAATCAAATGTTTATACATATTTGTATATGTTTCTATGACATACTTTTTCATACTATTTTCAAGAATAATAATAATAACTTCACACATCTCACACAAACTAGGCACAGCTTGTACTATGGTAACTAGAATATTTCTAAATACATACAGCGTCATACTGGTGGACATAGGCCTCTCTCATTGCACACCACTTGGACCGATTTTCGGCTTCTCATAATACATGCATATTATAGATAAATTACTCCCAGACAGACAAAAAATTATCATGCACATCACACAATTATTTGTCCTGTGTGGGATCAAACCCACAATTCATAACATTGTAGATTATTATTATTATTATGTCTATGAAATTAGAATGTACGTAAAAGGCTTACTTTGAATAATAAGTGCCCCCAGCATTGCCGCTTCATTGGCTGTACAATATAACCTTCCATGCAACAGATCTCTTTTGAGTTGTAAATATATCTGAAACCTTGTGACATCTTCTTTTAGTAGTAAGGGATTTGGAGGGTAGAATTTCACTCGAAAACTGAATAGTATTGGTGATGCATCTGTCAACAAGTTGATGAAAATAAAGTATCATTAGCTATATAAGAATATGTATAAAAGTATTTTTTTTTTGTTAATTCAATAAATTCAAATGTTTTGTTTATTTAACATTTTTGTAATTATTATTATTAATACAAAATTAACTCAGTGTTACACACAAGGTAAACTTTAAAAAGTAGAACTTTGGAATTGGAATGATAAATTAAAATTAGAATCTTGTGTCAATTTTTTTCAGATAAAGAATTTACCTTTTACTTGTTTCAGTATTAATTTTGCCATGTGAAGCCAATGCTGAAAAAAAAAGTTATTTTTCAGAAATGTTTTATCATCAAAGCATCGTCATTCTCGGTGAATGAATTGAAACAAACTTAAAAATTAATCCTACTATAGATGATTGTACAGAGAGATGAAGTCTGTAAACTTACAAACTTTATTTAATTTATAGCAAAGTAAAATTAAATGTATTATACATTTATAAAACAACTTAGAAATGTTCAACCAAAATGTAAACCAATTTATGAATATCCATCATCATCATCATCATCATCAACAGCCTATAAGAGTCCACTGCTGGACATAGGCCTCTCCTTAGAAAGGAGGTTTTGGCCTACTATACCACGCTGGCCAGACGGGTTGGTATAGGGTTTGTTTCAAGTTTTCCTTCTCTTTGCAGTGCTGTTGTCCTGCTTAGTTTGCTCCCTTAGTCGGCTCTTACGACACCCACGGGATGAATTGGGGTGGTGACAATTTGTATTCTTAATCCGTCACCACACGGACTTATCGGAACACGGAATATCATTATTTGATAATATCCAAAGCTATATAAAATCCTTTAAAAATTATATGCAAGAACAGGCTCTTCCTAGTTAAGCCAGATATTTAATTATTTATATTCAACATAATATATAGGTATATTTTAAGTTACTTAAGAAAAACTGAATTGAATCTTGAATGATATTGACAGTTTTTTTTTTCTTTAGATACTATGGACTTTTTTTTAGATCATGCTTTATCCATTAGTTTTTCATTCAATCTATTAAATAGGTTATACATTAATATTTATTTTTACATAACATACTATTTCCTCAATTCAAATATTTACCCTTTGTCCACCAGCGTCCACATACCGAAGTCCAAAATAATCAGTCTCAGTAAGATTCAACTGTTGACATACATGCTCCAACAAAAATTTTCCTTTATAACTTGGCTGAAAACAATCGTTCCATATTTGAATTCCGTTCGAACGTAAAATTTACCATACCATTGTTTTCGTAAGACTTACATGAAATTCACATTCTAATATTTCTGTATCCTCCAAAAGTCTCACCGTGCATTTATAAACAATATCTCCGCGACTTTTGAACATGCTTGTTACTTCAACGTTACCGCAATAATACGTAAAATACTACAAATTTATCATTTTAACAGTGAACATCATAGTGAACTTACATACAATATTATTTTAAGAACTTATTAATATAATTTGTTTCATTTCATTTTCATTTTAAGACCGGATTATAAAATCTGATGAATGGGGTGCGGACTGCGAGGAGCGGAGGGGGTTAAAATTTTGACATCTCTGTAGACGTTGCTACGTTTAGTACATTTTAATGTTTGTGAATTCAACTAAAACATTTTTGAATAACATTAGGTTGATCATAGCGTTAAACTCATCTTGCATTACAAATAAATGATAATATATGAAAGTATAAATTACTACACGACTAAAATGTGAATTTTACCAACAAAATGGTTTCTTTAGTTCTTCAACAGAGGTGATCATCTTCTTAAAAACTATCACAATAGAATTAAATATATTTGTATATTATTTTTTTAAACCTGAGCTTAAACACAAGAAACATAAACTTAATTTATACGTTTCTAAACGATTTCGCGGATCGGAACGTCATATCCTTGTTTGAAGAAAGAATTGCCAGTATGAAAACTACTTCCACTTAATTGTGGTAAATAAACATTTTCAATCGTTTTATTCTGATTTATTATCTTTTTTGTTGGATCTTAATTTTTTATTACTAAATTTTCAAAGGGTTTTAATCATTTTTAGTAGCAGAACTAAAGATTTATAGATAGACTGGAAGAAAATGCCAGTGGCGTTGAGTCCGCCATTGTACAATAAATTATTATTTATGCAAAAAGAATTACTAAATAAATAAAATTATTTTGCTCGCTGTTTCAGTGAATCTCACCTACAAATGTTTCTAAGTGAACGTATTTTCACAGTATTAATTCTATCTTCATGTTTCTTTACTTAGTTAGTTAATAGTTGCAATGGATCCGATTTCGTGAACTTTGAATGAATGGTTTAAGTTACCAAAAAATAGTACGTATAGAGCGCCGCTTTTCTTTCAATACTTTTGTCATGTAAGCATTTGTAAACATGCTCCCTACATAATTGAACTCAAAAGTTATTGAGACATTAAGTCCTTTACAATCCTGTTTCCGTTTATCTTAATAAAGTTATAATTCTTAGTTACCTTACCTTCTTAGTTACCTTAGTTTTTAGTACCAAGTATTTTTTAATGGAGTTTTTCTTTAAGCATGGCTAAGCTATTTATTTTTTAAAGGTAAGCCAAGCAATTATTGTAATTTTTTAAGGTCAAGAGTGTGTTACTTTTAACCTATTCTATTCAGATTATCATTATCAATATTCTAATGATATTTAAAAAGAGAAATAAAAAAGTTTTGCTTTTACTAACGACTTTTTTATAAACGTAATGGAGAAGAATAATTTGTATTGCCAGTCTAAATGATTAAAAATGGAGAAAAAAAGTTTTTGCATGGTCACCCTAAAAGCCGGAAGTGACTCTCTTCATTCCAGCCAGCTGAAGGAATCACCATTTCTCTTCCATTCTGTTGGAGTCTATCTCGGATATTACACGTGGATTGTAATCCGTGGTGAGTGTCAGAAGAAATTGTTTAGTGTAGTGTTTCAAAGTGATTTTATATTACCGTAAGCATTGAAATACTGTGTTTTTAGTCTTATTTAGAATTTGATCTATTTAACAATTCTTTGCTGTACCTAGACTTTAATTTTAAACCTACAGTATGTTACACATTGATATGTAACTGTTAAATATCTATCTTCTTTTGTTCTATTTAATTGATTCGCGTATCAATATTCCAATTATGAATTTCACTACGCGTTTGCTTACGCGTCATACTTTTTCAACGACCGGCTTGCCTGTCTCCCACCACGTGGTTGTGCTTTCTTGTTAGTCTCATTCTATGATTCTCATATAACAGTTTACTTATATAATATATTCACCACATTTTCTAATGCACATGTTACATAAATATTTCAATTACTTCGGTGCATTTGATGTAATGGCTGACATCCATTGTGAAATGTCAAGATAGGGCGAGGCGGCCATGCGGCCGCCATATTGCCGGCCGTACGATACATGAGGTTGCGACCTTGCAGATGCCGGCTAATAACATAATACTCGTTGCAATTTGTCGAATGGAAACAAGTTATTAACTATTATTTTCTGTTTTGTTCTAGACTAACCAAAAATGGGCAAGGAAAAGACTCACATTAACATTGTCGTCATTGGACACGTCGACTCCGGCAAGTCCACAACCACCGGCCACTTGATTTACAAATGCGGTGGTATCGACAAGCGTACCATCGAAAAGTTCGAGAAGGAAGCCCAGGAAATGGGTAAGGGTTCCTTCAAATACGCCTGGGTGTTGGACAAATTGAAGGCTGAGCGTGAACGTGGTATCACAATCGATATTGCTTTGTGGAAGTTCGAGACAGGCAAATACTATGTCACCATCATCGACGCCCCTGGACACAGAGATTTCATCAAGAACATGATCACTGGTACCTCACAGGCCGATTGTGCTGTACTCATCGTTGCTGCTGGTACAGGTGAATTCGAAGCAGGTATCTCCAAGAACGGACAGACCCGTGAGCACGCTCTGCTCGCTTTCACGCTCGGTGTCAAACAACTCATCGTTGGTGTGAACAAAATGGACTCCACTGAGCCTCCCTACAGCGAGCCCCGTTTCGAAGAAATCAAAAAAGAAGTGTCCTCTTACATCAAAAAGATCGGATACAACCCCGCTGCTGTCGCTTTCGTACCCATTTCTGGATGGCACGGAGACAACATGTTGGAGGCCTCTACCAAAATGCCTTGGTTCAAGGGATGGAATGTGGAGCGCAAGGAAGGCAAGGCTGAAGGTAAGTGCCTCATCGAGGCCCTTGACGCCATCCTGCCCCCTGCTCGCCCCACCGACAAAGCCCTCCGTCTTCCCCTTCAAGACGTCTACAAAATCGGTGGTATTGGTACAGTGCCCGTAGGCCGTGTTGAAACTGGTATTCTTAAACCTGGTACCATCGTCGTCTTCGCACCTGCCAACATCACCACTGAAGTTAAGTCTGTGGAGATGCACCACGAAGCTCTCCAGGAAGCCGTACCCGGAGACAATGTTGGTTTCAACGTAAAGAACGTATCAGTCAAAGAATTGCGTCGTGGTTACGTCGCTGGCGACTCCAAGAACAACCCACCCAAAGGCGCTGCTGACTTCACCGCACAGGTCATTGTACTCAACCACCCTGGTCAAATCTCAAACGGTTACACACCAGTTTTGGATTGCCACACAGCTCACATTGCCTGTAAGTTCGCCGAAATTAAAGAAAAAGTCGACCGTCGTACTGGTAAATCTACTGAAGATAACCCTAAATCCATTAAATCTGGAGATGCTGCCATTGTCAACCTGGTTCCTTCCAAGCCTCTTTGTGTAGAGTCCTTCCAGGAATTCCCTCCCCTCGGACGTTTCGCTGTGCGTGACATGAGGCAAACGGTCGCCGTAGGTGTAATAAAGGCTGTAAACTTCAAGGATGCATCTGGTGGCAAGACTACCAAAGCCGCTGAGAAGGCCGCTAAGGGCAAGAAGTAGCTAGCGCTCATTACAGCACAATTTTTCATTCAACTGCGATACTTCATTCACCGAAAGGTGTTCAGAAGGAAAGAAGGGCTACAAACTCATTCCTTTTCTATATTTTTTACAAGGCTTATACTGTAACATTATTTTATAATTTATATAAGGTTATATCTGAACTATTTTGTTATAACTGCAAACTAATGTGTAAATTCATAGATTAAAGGTAGCCTCCATGAAACAAATATTGTATTTTCATTTTGATCCTAATTACCACTTTAACCAGTGTAAAGTAGTACCAGTATTGCTTTTAATAAGTTGTCTTAATACCATATAATTATGGTGAAAAATCAAAACATTGATGAGCAAAGGTACTACTTGCATTAGTTAACATGCAAATAGCTATGAAGTTTAATTTACATAAGACCAAATAGATTTTACTCATAACTCAAGTTTGCCCAAGTTCTTCAGGACTCAGGTAGGTGATTGCTATGATGCACTAACTATAATAAGTGTGATTCATACGACATCCGAGAGCCGTGATGAGATGTCATGCGGGGTGGCTCTGTACAGTGTCACCGACACTGGCATGGCCACCATACATGATTTTAATTCTGATAACTAAAATTTTGTCGCCAAATAGAATTTTTCGGTCACGTGTCACTGACCCTAGCAGGGCCCCCTTATGGATGTTCATTTTTATAAAACTTGTCGCCAAATATCAGAATTTGTCTGTCACTGGTTCAAATGTTAAAGCGTTAATAGGGGGCTCTATAAACGCTTATAACGGGTGAGACTCCTCGGCGGGGCCACGCTTGTATGTCTAAGACTACGGCACCTGGCGAAGATCTATTTTCTCCCAAATTTAGTCGCTAATTTGTCGCCAAATACATTTCAGAATTTGTCGGGTCTTGCTTTAGGAGAGATATAATGAGAGCTAAATTTTTAAAGTACGTATAGGCTAAGAGCTAGATCATTAATGTTTCTTCATTGGACGACACTGCCCGAACGAAACCGATGCCGATCGATACTTGCTCGACGATACGTCACCGACAGATACATTCTTCATTTGGCCAGCGACACGACTGCGACCCGTTACGACACCACAAAAATAATATAAAATAAAAGTAGAATATATACAAAATAAAGTTATTCTATAATTTGAATTCACTAAAAGGAAGCTGTATTCATTACCTATAAACAGATCTACAATAAGTAAAATGTGCACTTAGTCGCTGGCAAATAGACCACTGCGCTTCCTTTTATTTAAGATAAGTAAAAAAGAAATAGATGCGCGTGTAAACACTAGCTATTTAGAGCGAGTTGCCCGTGACGTAAAATAAAGTCAGCCACAGAGGAACATATTATGAATAGTTATAGTATATATATATAGTAGTATATAGTTATAGTTAGGAGCTTAAGTAATAATGGTTTTGTAATAAATGTGTGTACGTTTTATATATTTCTTCTTATAAATATATATGTATAAAGACAACATAAACAGAAGAAGTCTTTGGATAAGTTTGAAATTGTATGTTTAGTATGTTTAATAAACTCCAAACGCAAAAAAATATGGTAAATAAAATAATGCAGCATTTCAACATTCAGTTTTTAGGTAATCACAATAACTTTTTCAACTTCAGTTCCTTTAATCCAATTAATGAATTGACGACCGAATGGCGTAGTGGTTTGTGTAACGGATTGCTATTCCAAAGGTAGCGGGTTCGATTCCCGCTCACGTCAAACATTTGTGTTCATGAACATTTAATGTTTGATTTGGTCTGGGTGTTCTATGTATAATAAGTATGTATTTGCAAAATAAAAGTATATATGTATTTATATATATATACCAGTTATCTAGTAGCCATAGTACAAGCTTTGCTTAGTTTGGGACTAGGTGGCGTTGTGTGAATGTGGTAGAATATATATTATTATTATTATACAAGGTGTACAAAGTAGACCCTGCCTTCCAAACTAGGAGTTCCTGTAACTTGGAAGACAGTGTTCCGCTGATGGCTCGTTTACGGTATTCCAGTATAGTTTGACTGTGAATGAGTATGTGTGTAGAAGGGATCGGTGTTGATGGATAACAATGAGTCGTAATCTATTATTGTCTCTGTCTGTATCTGTCTGTCTATCTGTTACCTCTTCACGCTTAAATCGCTGAACTGATTAAGATGAAATTAGGGATAGAAATAGTTTTTGAGTACCGGGAAAGGAATAGTTTCATCCCTGAAATCATCACCTAAATGCTTTTTTAACAAAAATTTAATTAAAACTATATTATCTTATCATAGAATCAGTAAGAAGTTACGTAGAAATACATTACACATACCTACTAATAGAATTTTTATTTTCTTTGCAATTTTTCATGAACTCGTCGGTCTAGCTCTTAGACTGTCTACCTTAAAAATTGAAATATCTTCTAAATTAAGACTCGAGTAAATCTGTGAAAGAAAAGTAAGAAAAATTGCAAATAATTAACTACTAAATTTAGGAGAAAACAGATTTTCGCTACGTGCCCTAGTTTTTCGGATATAAGCGTGGCCGACCTGGGAAGATTCTCCCTAGGTCGTCCACCTGGGAACGCTTATAACTTTTAACCCAGTATCTGACAAATTACGCCGGCTATCCGTGTGGTGACGAAGTAAGAATAGGTACGGAGTGTCGCCACCCTTATTCATCCCGCGAGTGTCGTAAGAGCCGACTAAGGTAGCAAACTACGCAGAACAGCAGCACTGCAAAGACAAGGAAAACTTGAAACCAACTTGAAAAATGTGTCCGGAACGAGCGTCTGAGAGTATAGTGTTTTGACGGAAACAAGAGGCTACTAGTGGGCTATTTAAATAAATAAATAATTATAGATAATAAATAAATAAAAAATTAAGCTGCCTAATTTAGGTTTAAGTATGTCCTGTCCATATGGGACGATGTAGTCGCTCAACGACAAAGTCCTTTTAATAATAAAAAGAAACTCACCTAGGTACCTACGTACTTTTAGATTTTGCTTATCGAATAGAACAGCTTTAATTGATATGATAACGTACCTACTATAAAAATATGTAGCACATTTGATAAACAAGGTGCTTGACCGCCGCCTTGGCTTCAGTTGTTTTTCAGTAGGTAGCTCTCAAACTGATTCCTATTCAGTGATAGAAAACAAAAAGTAAAAAAACTTTGGTCTATCTAAAATTGATCGTGGCTAAAATTAACTGGCTTGGTCACCGTCATGGATTTTAACTTTGATAACAGAAGAAAATTAGTCGCTAATTACTCGAAATTTGTCGCCAAATATCAGAATTTCCAAGTCACTGGTTAAAAACTTGTAAGCGTTTAAAGGTGGCTCTGTTAGGGTCAGTCTCCCCAGCTTGGCTACGCTTGTTTCTCAAAATCTAGAGCACATAACGAAGATCTGTTTTCTCCCAAATTTAGTCACTAATTGGTCGGAATTTGTCGACAAATATCAGAATTTGTCTGTCACTAGTTCAAAAGTTATAAACGTTTCTAGGTGGCCGATCTAGAGAGAATCTTCCCAGTTCAACCACGCTTATATCTCAAAAACTAGGGACCTAGCGAAGATCTGTTTTCTCCCAAATTTTGTCGTTAATTACTATCATTGAGTTAAAGGTACTATTATCTAATTTGTGCTTATGGCTAATAGGTATGTTTTGTTTAATATCATATACCCATACAACTAGAACTATCATTGCATATGTTTCCCGTGCGTCTCCGGTTTGTTTTGTAATTTTATTACATATTCATTAACAATTTAACCTTTTACACTTCTGTCTATATAATAATTAGAATTGTCTGCATTTAGAAATAATTATAATAAATATAGGTAATAACCAAAGTAATTACTGCTTAACCTTATACATGAAGAAATTATACGTAGATACCTAAAAAATTGAAAGAGTGGGTGTAGCTCTGAATTTATGACGCATTCGTGAATTATTGATCCGCAATAAAGGGCATAAACTGCCTTTTGTTGTGTTTCTCTTACAAGGGTTACACCCAAACAAACTGCTAACACAGGGATGAATAAATCTAAAAAGATGTCTAATGAAACCCAGTCCATTACACCACAGTTACTTGAATGAATTCTAACATTTAAGGTGAATCACCTCTATCTACTACGTCATTGTCACGTCTACAACCTACTTGAACCTGCTAAATAATTCTGCGTCACAATATTTTTATTTGGTTATATTATAACAAATTTTATTAGATATTGGCAAGATATGTATAAAAAAGATACAATTTAAACAGATGTGTGAAAATACTTGTAATGTCTAGTCGTGTTTAGATAAGTGAAGTTAAAGTAGTCTGAGATATCAAAACATTACATATTATACTAGGTACCTATCTACTTGCAAACCACGTGTCACTGTCGCACTGTGATCTCACGTGGCGCAATGAGCGGAAAACGTGCCTGTCAATAAAATTAGGGCAATTATCAAATCTGATGTTTTTGTTTAACTCTGTGTGTATATTTTAAGAAAGTAATATTTTTGAAACCAATATTATTAGCATGACAAACACTACAGACAAAGGAAATTTGCAGAATTTCAGTAGAAAATGAAATGTTGTGCAATCAGTAAGATAATGTAATTTAATCATGTGTCATACAGAGCAATTGTAAATGTTTACCGGTTAGATTTTGCTGATACCTATGCAAATTTTTTGACTGGGAAAATTAATACTTAAGATATCAATAAAAGAAGTAATATCAATTTAATTCATAAATTTCCGTGAGACTTCTAGAAGACTACAGAGTCTGAAGTGATGCTAAATTGCTAACGTTTTCTTCTAGTGAGTTAGGTTATGTTGTTACAGGTAACATGTATGTTCTAATACCTAATAATATAGAATGTAAAGTAAATGTTGTTAAATGACCGACCGGATAACAGAGAAATACAGCCATGAATTATATTGTTTAACACTTAAAAATGCATATTATTACACGCTTTATATTAGCTTCACTTGTATGTTTGTTTGTAAGTTTGTAACCGACTCCT